TGTCCGGCTGTGTCCAGAGCCATGTCCGGCCGTGTCCGGCTGTGTCCAGAGCCATGTCCAGCCATGTCCGGCTGTGTCCAGAGCCATGTCCGGCCGTGTCCGGCTGTGCCCAGAGCCATGTCCAGCCGTGTCCAGCCATGTCTGGCTGTGTCCAGAGCCATGTCCGGCCGTGTCCGGCTGTGTCCAGAGCCATGTCCGGCCATGTCTGGCTGTGTCCAGCTGTGTCCAGCTGTGTCTGACCATGTCTGGCCGTGTCTGGCCATGTCTGGCCCTGTCCAGCTGTGTCCAGCCATGTCCGGCCGTGTCCGGCCATGTCCAGCCGTGTCTGACCATGTCCAGCTATGTCCGGCTGTGTCTGACCATGTCTGGCTGTGTCCAGCCATGTCCAGCCATGTCCAGCCATGTCTGGCCGTGTCCGGCCATGTCCAGCCATGTCCAGCCGTGTCCAGCCATGTCCAGCCGTGTCCGGCCGTGTCTGGAGCCGTGTCCGGCTGTGTCCGGCCGTGTCCGGCCGTGTCCGTACCTGTCCAGCCGCAGGGCTGCCGGAAGGTCAGCGAGGCGTTGTTGGAGGACACGGCGTTGCTGACCTTGCAGGTGAAGGTTTCCCCCTCGGGGCTGAAGGAGACGCTCAGGACGGGGCCGTCCTCCACCAGGAGCCTCTGGGGTGGGATCCACTCGTAGGTGACCCCCTGGAGGTCCACGGAGCACCTCAGGGTGACCTTGCACTGACCGGGGTCGCCGGCGGGGGTGGCCGTCACGTGGGGCTTGGGGACCAGGTCTGTGGGAGAGGTCAGGAGGTCACAAAGTCCTCATGGAGCTCTGGGACAACCCCCAGGAGCTCTGGGACAACCCCCTGGAGCTCTGGGACAGCCCCCTGGAGATCTGGGACAACCCTCTGGAGATCTGGGACAACCTCCTGGATGTCACAAAGTCTTCATGGAGCTCTGGGACAACCCCCTGGAGATCTGGGACAACCCCCTGGAGCTCTGGGACAATTCCCAGGACATCTCAACATCTCCAATCCATCTGTGGAGCTCCAGGACAATCCCCAAGGACATCTCAACATCCTCCTGGAGCTCTGGGACAATTCCCAGGAGCTCTGGGACCATCCCCAGGATGTCACAAAGTCCTCCTGGAGCTCTGGGACAATTCTCAGGACATCTCAACATCGTCCTGGATCTCCAGGACAATTCCCAGGACATCTCAACATCTTCCTGGAGCTCTGGGACAATTCCCAGGACGTCACAAAGTCCTCCTGGATCTCCAGGACAATTCCCAGGAGCTCTGGGACCATCCCCAGGATGTCACAAAGTCCTCCTGGAGCTCTGGGACAATTCTCAGGACATCTCAACATCGTCCTGGATCTCCAGGACAATTCCCAGGACATCACAAAGTCCTCCTGGCGCTCCAGGACCATCCCCAGGACATCAGAAAGTCCTCCAGGAACTCTGGGACAATTCCCAGGAGCTCCAGGACCATCCCCAGGACATCTCAAAGTCCTCCTGGCGCTCCAGGACCATTCCCAGGACATCTCAAAGTCCTCCTGGATCTCCAGGACCATCCCCAGGACATCACAAAGTCCTCCTGGCGCTCCAGGACCATTCCCAGGACATCACAAAGTCCTCCTGGCGCTCCAGGACCATCCCCGAACTCACCGTAGACCTTCAGCAGGAACTCCTCCACGCTCTCCTTGCCCGCGTCATCCTCCCGGTACAGCTGGAACTCGCCGCTGTCCCCGCGCCTCAGGTGGCCCAGTTTTAGGGTGTGGTTGCCCAGGAGCTCCAGACGCCCCCAGAAGCGGCTCTGGGGGTACCCGGGCTCCTCCCCCCGTTTCCAGCCGGCGATTCTCACCCGGTTCTCCCAGCGCCAGTGGATTTGGGAATAATCCGAGGGATTTTGGGGCCCGCGGGGGCTCAGGAACGCCGCGCCCCCCACGGCGCCCGTCACCTCCAGGGGTGCGGCTTCCTGCGCCCAGGCTGCCAAAAAACACCAGAAACACCCCAAAAAATCGGGGTGGTGTCGCTGGGTGGCTCCGCTTTTCCCGGGTCTCGTCCCGCTCGGAATTCCAGGAGCGTTTAAAGCGCCATGTTAAAGGTTGAAAATGTGATATTAAAGGTTGAAAACGTGATATTAAAGGTTGAAAATGTGATATTAAAGGTTGAAAATGTGATATTAAAGGTTGAAATGTGATATTAAAGATTAAAATGTGATATTAAAGGTTAAAATGTGATATTAAAGGTTGAAATGTGATATTAAAGGTTAAAAACGTGATATTAAAGGTTAAAAACGTGATATTAAAGATTAAAATGTCATATTAAAGGTTAAAGTGCAATATAAAAGATTAAAAAGTGATATTAAAGGTTAAAACATGATATCAAAGATTAAAATGTGATATTAAAGGCTAAAACACGATATTAAAGGTTAAAGAGCGATATTAAAGATTAAAACTCTATATTAAAGATGAAAACACGATATTAAAAATTAAAGAGCGATATTAAAGGTGAAACCATGATATTAAAGGTGGAAAATGCGATATTAAAAATGAAAATGCGATATTAAAGGTGGAAAATGCGATATTAAAGATGAAAATGAGATATTAAAAATGAAAATGCGATATTAACGATTAAAGGGCGATATTAAAGATGAAAATGCGATATTAAAGGTGAAAATGCGATATTAAAGGTGGAAAATGCGATATTAAAGGTGGAAAATGCGATATTAAAAATGAAAATGAGATATTAAAGGTGGAAAATGCGATATTAAAGGTGGAAAATGCGATATTAAAGATGAAAGCGCGATATTAAAGACGAAAACTCGACTCCGCTGCCTCCGGAGCCCTGGAGGGGCGGGACGAGGATTTCAAATTTTCCCGCCCCGAATTTCTCAGGAATTAATTATTTTAATTATTTTTGCGTTTTTTTGGGACTCCACCTGGCTCAGCCCATCCCCACCCCCCGTGGTGACACCAGGGGACACCCCAATGTCCCCAAACCCACGTCCCCCCGCCCCAGCCCCGTACCTCGGGCCACGAGGAGGAGGAAGAAGCTCGGTGTCGACCCCGGCGCCATCTCGGTGGGTGGGACCCCCAAAATCCAGTCTTGGACCCCAAAATCCAGTCTTGGACCCCAAAATCCAGGCTGGGACCCCCAAAATCCAGGCTAGGACCCTAAAAATCCAGTCTTGGACCCAAAAATCCAGTCTTGAACACCCAAAATCCAGGCTGGGACCCCAAAATCCAGGCTAGGACCCCCAAAATCCAGTCTTGAACACCCAAAATCCAGGCTGGGACCCTCAAAATCCACTCTTGGACCCCAAAATCCAGTCTTGGACCCCCAAAATCCAGGCTGGGACCCCCAAATCCAGTCTTGGACCCTCAAAATCCAGGCTAGGACCCCCAAAATCCAGTTTGGGACCCCCCCGAAAGCCTGGGGGGGTTTGGAAGGCGAGCAGGAGACACCACGTGATGGGGAAGGCCAACGGTTCCTGTTTCTTTTTTGAGCTCGAAACCGCGGTTTTTGGGTGTGTGACAATGTGACAATGTCACAAGGGTGTCACAGCCTGGCGGGGGCACCCCCATGGATCCCCCAAATCCCCACTGGAGTGACCCCAAAGCTGTCCCACCCCATGGGACACTGACCACAAGGGCCACCAGAGTGACCCCAAAGCTGTCCCAATGGTCAGTGGGGCACTGACCCCACACCTGGGTCACCAGAGTGACCCCAAAGCCACCCTGCTGACCAGCAGGACACTGACCCCAAAGGTCACCAGAGTGACCCCAAAGCCACCCCCATGACCAGCAGGACACTGACCCCAAAGCCATCCCACCTCACCCCAAAGCTGTCCTGATGACCAGCAGGACACTGACCCCAAAGCCATCCCACCCCATGGGACACTGACCCCACACCTGGGTCACCAGAGTGACCCCAAAGCCACCCCGCTGACCAGCAGGACACTGACCCCAAAGGTCACCAGAGTGACCCCAAAGCTGTCCTGATGACCAGCAGGACACTGACCCCAAAGCCATCCCACCCCATGGGACACTGACCACAAGGGTCACCAAAGTGACCCCAAAGCCATCCCAATGGTCAGTGGGGCACTGACCCCACACCTGGGTCACCAGAGTGACCCCAAAGCTGTCCCTCCCCATGGGACACTGACCCCAAAGGTCACCAGAGTGACCCCAAAGCCACCCCCATGACCAGCAGGACACTGACCCCAAAGCCATCCCACCCCATGGGACACTGACCACAAAGGGTCACCAAAGTGACCCCAAAGCCCACCTGATGACCAACAATCCGGGAATTCTCCTCTCCAACCCCAAACAATCCTGGAATTCTCCTCTCCAACCCCAAACAATCCGGGAATTCTCCTCTCCAACCCCAAACAATCCGGGAATTCTCCGCTCCAGCCCCAAACAATCCTGGAATTCTCCCCTCCAACCCCAAACAATCCGGGAATTCTCCACTCCAGCCCC